CGCCTCCGTTCTGGTTTCTTGAACTTTCCAGCCGCCATTCAACGTTTCTTGAATTTTTCGGTGAACGCATCCAATTCTGAGTTCTTGAGCTTTCGGTACTGGAAGCTCCTCCAACGTTCGTGCTTTCCGCGTTTGGAAGAATGCTCCAGAACTTCTTCGTCCAATTTGCAGTTTAATTGAATATAAAATTCATTTGTAAACTTTCAATGAATGAATAGTATGATAATAATAATAAAATAAACAATGCTTTGCCGATATTTAGGAAGAAAAGTCTAACAAGATGCAAGGTTCAAAGCAGTATGTGGTTCTGCCTGACACAATATAACATATAACCTTGGGTGAGAGTGAGAGAGAAAATTGATTCTCTTTTTGTGCCCAGAATTAGAAAAGCAGAAATTTTTTTATTCTTGTTTTTGTTCCCCAGCATAAAAAAAAAAACTGGTTCATCCCGGGAACAAAAAAATAAACCGATTTTATCAAACGCAATTCTCATCCATTCCGAGAAGGTTGTCATGCACACCCTAAATAGAAGACAATCCAAGCTTTCAACAAAGTCACAACCCTTCCTCAAGCCTTAAATCTGAAAATGGCAGCCATGGGTCTCTCTTTCTTTCTTTCAGCACAACGCCAGAATGGAAGGGGTAAGGAAAGAGATGAAGATGGAGATTGGTGGGTAGATTCTCTTATTTCTCAAAGGATTGGTTGAAGCCAAGTGGAGAGGAGGAGGAGAAGTTCTCCCTTGCTCCTTGGAGTGCACAAATACGAGAAGAGAAAAGAAAGAACGAGACGCACGCGAGGAGAGAAAGGAAATGAAGCACTATTTCTAAACTTAAGTATTTAAGTTACTTTAATTGGATAAAAATTTATCTATCACCCACCTCCATTCACTACTGTTCTGTCTTGGAGACATAGATGTCCAGCCCAATAGACTGGTATGTTGATCTTAAATCTAGTGCCATCTCCAATGTATCTATGAAGGAGATATCATTGAGTCAAGCAGATCACTGTGCACAACGAACTAATAACAACTTTTGTCAATGGGGTGTGTGTGCGCACAGTGACAACATAACAGTAAGAGAGAGTGCGTAACGTACCTTTAAGGTTTACTTCTTATTTATAGGAGTTACCTGTGGGTAGTATGATGTAGACCTTTAGTACCTCTGATGAGGGCCCTATCCTGTCTGCCATGCTGTTGTATTAGGATTAGTATCCTTGACGGATATCTATCCATAAATATACTTGATTTAAATCTTAGATTGTCCCTAGCTGGGCATGTTATTCGATGAGCCCCTTATACGGGTCCATAACAACTACCAAACTTTACCCAATGGATTAGAATATTTTTCTAGTCACGTTTCTATTTTTACTTTCACTTTTTGAATAACTTTATTTACCCACTTTTTATCCCTTGATTGTCATTTTAACTCCCCTTTTTTTTTTTATCAAATGTGACTTTATTTTTTTTTCTTCTATTTTTGAGGGTTATTATATAAAGGAAGAAAAAGAAAAACGGAATTATAACGTGAATCAATTAATCATAACCATTACTGTTTATATTAGTTAAAGTAGAAATTGATACACATACAATCTTTCAATTGTAAATTAGAATCCGTTATTTCAGAAAGAATATTTAAATGGGTTATTCTTTTTTCTTGGTTAAGTTACTTAGGACAAGACGTGTCTTGGAACATTTTTGTTTGGTAAGAAGTCTCCTCATTGTGATTTGTGATGATTCAATATAGACTAACTCTTATAATGGAAGAGAGAGGGAAATTAAGGAAAAGAAAAGAACAATGAAAATGTGTAGCATGGGTTGAGATTAACAAGCAAACATGAGCAGGTTGTCCCACTTCCATCCCCACCACAGTCACATTAGTTTGCTTTGTTAGGCTGCATTTGTCCCATAAGTCCAGAAGGGCACATTCTGTCTTTCTCACTGAATACAAACTAATATTCTAAGTGAGGAAGCTACCCATAAACCTTGTTATGGAACAGGACACCCCAGTGGTCCGGAATTTTTATTGTGCTATGGTCGCACCATTTATTGGATGCGACTCACCAATTAAAATAAGAGAGAAAAGATGTAAATTGTACGGATGAGCAGTTAAAAAAATTAAATAATCCAAATGTCAAAAACTGAACGGAAGACTTACATGCGTCGATTGCATTGAAAAAGCACTCCCAGTGGTCCTATTAGTCCATATAACTTTGCATGACAAGTGTGTGACTTTGTATACACAAAACGGGAAAATGTTTATATGTGCTAGGTGCAACGTTTGTGGTGTGTACACTAGAAATCTAGAACAATGGGAAGAGGCAAATTTAGGATATGCTGCCTCTCAAATTTGTAATGTCCCTAAAGTAGAATCGATAACTGAATTGCTGAATGTATCGATTTTTATGGTTTACTGACCTAACAGAAATCCAATTACTGAAAATATTCTATAATTTTATATAATATATTTAAATAATAATATGATAATATATTCAAGTTTAACACCATTCATAACATTTATAATATTGAGAATTATACTTAAAAATAACATTTAACACCATTATGTAGTTCTTTAAAAATAATCTTACCATTAACGTTATATTGATAAAAAAATTCCTGAAAAAAACTCCAAACGAATTTAACAAATTTTCCACTTATAGTCCATTTTTTTATGATTGCAAGTTTGTACTAGCTGAGTGCAGTTGCTAGCTTTCTCCAAATGTCTTTGATGTGAACTTTGAACCTTTGCTATAACCAGTCTTGCCATCCTAGTGTTTAATTACCAACTTTCACTATTACCAATTCAAATGTTCAACGATTGGTAAGAAGGCACCTGAAAAGCTATGCACCTATTAAAAGCAACAGATATTAATAATTTATCAGAATCCTTTCACTCTCGTGGTTTTAATATATATATTTTTTCTGAATTTCAAAGAGCTATTTTTTTTTTCTTTTATCATAAGTCCAGTCCACGAATAAATTTTTAGTGCTATTGTTGCACCTAAATTCAGTGCATTCAATCAATAAGAGCATTACACATAAGAGGAGAGAGAAAATATTTATTCCCAATCCATACTCTTTTTTAAGAGAGTCACTTATCGAGCGCATACATTAATTGGGATGGATTAATTCCCGCATTCATTAATTGTTGTACTAATAAAACTTATAAATTCATTAACGAAAGACAATGACAAGATTAAATGTCTCAATACATTCGATTAAAAAAAAAGTAAGACTATGTTTATACATTTATATCGTTAAACATAGAATTTAAAAACATTCATAAAGTTATAAATTAACAAGGGATTTTATTGGAATTTTGAAGGAGCAGCATATGTACACACACACATAATTTCTCGGGGGTTAAAAAACCAATTAAAGTCACAAAGTTTCAAGGGTTAAAACATTCAACAAGCATGGAAACCGAAGCCTCTGACAAGAGGAAAGTAGGCTTGTTAAATTGCATGAGTTTAGCAAGAGCTGAAGCCAACCCAGTTGAACCCTTGTCCTTTTCTTGGAACACTTGATTGGATTCGTGTTGAATGGGGTTCGAGCCATTGGAGTGAATGGTCTCACTCTCGCCCTTTTCCTTGAGCTTGGACAGCTCGCTTGTCCACATGTCTATCAGTCCAGACATAACAGCACCAAAAGCCTAGAACACTGAAGAGGAAAAAAAATGTGGGACTAAAATCAAGAAAGAAACTTAAGGATGTTTTGTGTTGTAGTTGTTGTTGGTACCTAATAGCTTGACATGAGTGAGGTGTATATAAAGAGATGGAGATCATTCGGATAAGTCATAAAAAAAATTAAGAAAAATACTAAATAATTATTCATTCGTAGCAAACAGAAATCCTTAAAATTAAAAGGTGGATGTCCCACAAAACCGCGTTCCTGTTGTCCGTGTGCTTTGAAACAGAGACGGAGACAACAGGAACTTGAAGCTGCTTTAATTTCATCTTGTGCTATTATTTTATTGTATATGCAAAACCACTGGCGTAACCGTGGTATAAACAGCTTGCGCCATACACTGTTTAACTTTTGCAATTTTCTGTTGGCTCAATCAGATTCAGACCCAAAGAAGAGTATAGCACTCTAATCTATGCTATAGCACTCTAATCTATGCCACGTACGCCCTACAAGGATTACTATTGGCCAGCCTCATGTTTTGGTGCTGAGCCAATTATCTTAGGAAACATTCCTTGAGCAAAATATAAGACGAATTTCTTCAAATATATGGCAAAAGAAAAAAAATTAATCCAATAATATATGAAACTAAATAAAATGTTTTATTTTCAAAACCTAAATTTTAGCCTATACATATTATATGAAATGAAATGAAATGATATCGTAATTGATGTAAGTTACTCAAACATTTGAAAGCATTTATTCGAACATTATTTAAGAATACTAACATTTAAGAATAATTAAATGAAGGAGACATTTTTAAGTCTACTGGCTACAAGTGTTTGTATAGCCGACTTTTAAATGAAATTGATGGTCGAGATATTTCTGAAAACAGGTATGGGTATAGGCACTTCACACAGTTTGTCCGAAACTAAAGAAATTTTGTATGGTAAAAAATTCTTGAAAATCTTGAAAAAAAAGATCACAAAAAATAGTTGAAGTGTATTTTTAAAAGAACGATAAAATAGACATTATAGGCACTTTACAAAATTTGTCTGAAAGTGAAAAAAAATTATATGGTAAAAAATTCTTAAAATGCTTGGAGAAAATCACAAAAGCTAGCTGAAGTATATTTTTATAGGAAAGATAAAAAAAAAAACATATTGATTATAAATTCTAACACTATTAAGAAGACACTTGATAAATGATAAATGATAAAAAAAAAATATATATAAGAAGATAAGTGATTTAAAGGAAGGAGGATATTTGAACTTTTCTCTAAAAAATAATGAAGAATCAAAGAGCAGGAAAACGGCAAATGGATTAAAAAGTTATCATAAAGTTAAATTGATCAAAGAACAATCAATAATCAAATCTTGAGCATGATTCAATACGTCCAATTACATAACGAATAAACCAGCAATGAGCGGTTGATTCTTTGACCTATGTACAGATGAATGATACATGGATATGTGCAACGGATGCCGGACTTCATTTTTGTATAAATATAATGCTCCAGCTAGAAACAGCATACTGGATAATCCAACTATCCAAGTCTTAGCTCGATTGTTAGCATACGACATTCTTTTGCTAAGCCTTCAAGAGCTGAGGATCCAAAACATACTCCTCAATCAATATGGCAATGCAAGTAGCAGGTGTTCAAAGCAGCTGCACATTGTTTAGACATGAAGAGAAGGCGCGTAATCCTTTTTCATCTCCCACGAGAGTAGCTGTGAGCCTTGGACTTCTCCGCAACATGTCATGGGATGGCAGATGCAAGCCCACATGTAAGGTGTGAAATAATAACTCTGCCGGGACAAATGCCGAAATCAAAAGGACGGCAGAAGCTAAACAGAATACAGTGCCGTGGATAGATCAGTGATTGTGATCGATTTGGCAGATTTCAAGATATGGCCAGACTAATGGGACCTGCAAAAACATCCGTGTGGTGGCTTCCCTGTCACAAGGAAATAATACAAGGCCAAAGGACCTATTCCTCACCATAGTCGACCCAACAATGCCTGAAGCCAATTCTTGCATAATATTGGGAATATGAGAAGATGCTCAAGTCTGAGAAACCTCAAATCCATGGGGTCCAACCTTCGTACATGTTGCAAAGATTATCTACACTAGTAGCTTGCTTCAGTAGATAATCTACTTGTTCTGCAACACCAATTTCCCTGAAATCCAAAGAAGGCTCAGTATAAAGGAAAAATTTTAGCAAAAGATTTTGAGTTCCAAAAAGATCTATATCCATACCTGCTTTCAGAAATATCTTGACCATCAATTTTCATCTCAACCCGCCTCAATACTGACAAGGCATAAGCATTTTTACCTAGCAGATAAGTGCAAAAAGTCATAAACAAAAAAGGGTAAGTCAATTCCTTTTATTTTCATACTAATTTCAATCCATAAGATATTATGAGGTACATGTGGCTGTAAATGACAATTTGCTGTTTCTCCCTCATACACTAGTATTTACAGTTCAGGAATATCTTTGGTTATCAAAGGACAATCTTCAAAACTTATTCTAGACATTCAATAAACCACAAATGCAATCTTAGCTGTATGACACCCAAAACCTTGGTCCATTTTCAAATTTAAATTTATAGATAATTTAAAATGAGTCATAAAGAGAAGATGAGCACATTCAGTCAGTCTCTTCAGAATACATGGTTAGGTAAAGAAACGAAAGGAAAAATGAATCCTAAAACCCATTCCTCTTTAACATTCACAAAAAAAAAAAAAAAAACCACTCAAAAACTAAGATTAAGTGTTGACCTTAGCAAAATTCTGGACTCTGACATATTACACCTCGCTGACTTAACTTCCCAACACAAGATAGTTTCATATTCTTTACACTAAAACCTAGCCTAAGCAGTTTGAGTCCATTAGAATGGTACATTTTTGCTTTTAATTAAGGGAAATCATTTTCTTATGTAATAGGAGATAGTTTTCTCATGTTGTGAGACATCGAAATTCGTGCTATCTTTTTAGTTTTTTCTTCTTTTTTAATAAGTGGTGGGCCCCACCACTTATTGTGTCTATGACATGAGAGATGATATCTCATGTGACATGAGAAAAGAGAAGCCCTTTAATTAAATAAAGGTAGTCAAAAAGGCAAACCTGGTGCACAAGGTTCCTAACTTTGCGAGAGTAAAGGTGAAGGTTAATTGTATATCATTAATTTTATACGGTTCATATTATTTCACATGTTTATTAATTGGGACACCACGGCAGGGGATTAAACCAATTCTCAATGAAAACCTAAGTATTTATTTTACTAATATGGGATTGGTACATTAAATAAAAGATGAGAAAAAAAATGTTAAAAACAAGACTTTGTACATACCCCTTCCAACTCGGGAACCAACATTTATGTTAGGATCAGGAGCTTCCCGATGTTCAGCGCCATTCTTAACTTTATTTGCAGAAAGCAGTTCATCTTCACCATCAAATTTGTCTGAGTTGTCATTTGATGGACTCTGGGAGTCAGCAGGGATAGCAACAGATTTATCACCTGGCAAAGTCGTAGCCTTGGGATGTTCAGAGGCCTCATCAGTTAACTTCACAGAACTGGTGTCATTGAAATTATCCTCCAAAGGAAAAGATGGGGACACCTCAAAAGGTGAGATTTCTTCAACATCAGTCTGAGACAATGGAGTGGTATTATGACCAGTGGGATTTCTGGTACTAGACCCCTGCGAAAGCAGGTCTTTATTTTCTGAATCGTTCAAGCTTTCAGGTAGACTAATTTCAGCTGATGTAATGTCAGACCCTGAACTGCTATAGCAGATGCTATCTGGTGGCGATATCCATCCTTTATCTTCCAAAGAAAGTCGAGGAAAGCCAATAAAATCTTCAGTCTCATCATCATCAGACCTAGAGAGACTCTCCCCTTCTTTACCATCAAATTCAACAGCATCCCCACCATCAGCATCTGATCTTGACAAAACAATATCCTGTGATTTTACTTCCTGGCTTTCTCCTATTCCTTCAAGAGCCTGAAAATAGAGAGCATGGATCTAGATTGGCTCTTTCGAAATATAACCAATTTTTTTTTCCCAACTTCCTTTGGCTAATTGACTGGGTCATGGCAGTTGGAGCAGAATATATATATATATATATATATATATATATATATATATATATATATATATCAGTAGAAGATCATCTTACATAAGTGTAAATTACATTCTCAATCTTAGTCGTTGATCTCACTTGCATCTAACGTGACTAATAAATTAGAGTCATTAGATGCAAGTAGGATCAACGATCAAAATTGAAATTATGACTTGTTGAATACACTGGTGTAATTTGATTCTATCCTATCCTATAAATATGGAAAAATACTTATTGAAACTGTCACATTACTTTGTGCAGATTGCCAGCATGGAGATTAGCAGTTCTTGCTAACCTAGTCAACAATGAATAGAGTCCCTTCACAGCTGATGTTAGAGATGGTACCAAGGGCTTAAAGGTATGACAAGCCTCCCTGATTCTTAAACAGTAAGACTGGTAAATAGCTTGCCCATGGATGGGTGATATTTCCTTCTTGGTCTCGCTTTCCCTAGCTATAGCATCGGTCATAGCAGCAACATCCTTAGACAACACTGATTCAAGTGGAAGAAGGATGGCATTCGCCTGCCAAAACCGCCAAAATACAATTTTGACTTTAGGGAAGCTCAATATCAGGAAATACAGAATGGACAGCTATAGGTGAAGCCTGAAGGTCAATAATTATAAACTGAGATACAAAGGGGTAAATAAAAAACCTTTGAAAGATTTTCCATAAGAGAAAGGTGGACAGCAGCTGCCTCTTTCCCCATATTGTTGACATCATGTATATCTTCAGTTATTGCTAGAACCTACAAAAACAAAGCAACATTAAGTTGCAAACAATCCATAGAAAGAGGACTTATTAGTGATGGATGGAACACATAGTAACTTATTTGCACACTTTCTATAGCTTGTTTGCAACTACAGGTAACAGTAATCATAATAAGTAATAGTAGACCTGGTGATGAGAGAAACATTCACTTATTTGTACATTTAATCATTTTTAATAAATTGGGATTAGTTGGGTTTTTTTTTTTTTTTAGTAATTTAGCATTACTTGGTTATCAAGTTGGGTTTGCCTACTTCAGGATTGCTGTACACGATCTACAGAGCCAGAAGATTATGAAACTGAGTTCATTTAAATACGTATATATTCCAATGCTATATTTGATCGTTTAACAACTTGGGTCTTGCTAAGATTATAATTTAAAAGGCCAGGTGCAATGCATAATTTGACCTGAAATCCTTTTACCCCCATACAAAGTAGCAGCTCCAAAATTACCAATATAGAACCATATACATAAAACATCAATACAGACATCAAATTCTATAATCATATGAAAAAAATAGTTCAAAATTATACTCCACAGTAATGCACGACAACTTCAAATACTTTAAAGAATGTACCTCTTCAAGCATAGAACCACATTCAGAAGTTAAAGCAGTATGGATCCTTGAAACCTGAGTAAAAGCAGACAGTGCAACACTAGCCTCATATGCACAATCCCTCATTGAAAGAACCGTGCTTTGTAAATCACCTATAAAAAGGTAAAGAACATATTAAACCAAAACATGCAACCATAATGCTGATACATGCAACATTTGAGAATACATGCATCTGCATGAATGAACTTCCATTTACAGATGAACAGTAACCAAGATGGCAAGATCTACCTGAAGCTGACTTTGCTTTCAGAGAGGCAACACAGAGTTCATTGGTTGCAGTGTATAATCCATTGGAAGCAGCTTCAACAGTGCGTTGTGCAAGCTTCCACTCTTTCTCAGTACCTATTAAAGGAAGAGAAGAGCACATGTTCACTTTCATGCAGAAGTTAAACTAACATGAAGAGACTTCAACTACTGAGAAATATAGCATACTCACGTGTATAAGAATGGAAAGTAACATCCAATCTTGTTAGTGCATTCAAGTACACTTGCTGCCAAGTCTTGCCATCAGCACTACTCCTGAAGGGATATGGTTGGCCTGGTATAAGCAAATACCCATCTCTTGATGCTTCAAACTCTAATAATGACATACATAACTTCACAATGTCAGACGCCTTTTCTCTAGATTCCCATAAAATCTGCCTGCGAGTCTTAATATGTTCATGGAACTCGGGAGGAATTCCTGAATTTTTAGTTGAAGTATTTCCAGAACTACTGGAATTTGGACCCCCACAAGCCCAACTCATTGCTCTCTCAAGCTGTCCTTCAGCTATTAGAGAAGTTTGTTCACAAGACTGAAGACAATCCATTGATGTTGTGATTTTTGACACAGCGGATTGTATATTTTCCAATAATTTAGATCTGCTGAGGTTCAAAATGATTGCATACAAGCTATCATCAGTATCAAGATACTTCTCAAATCTGATTCTTCTGTTATATGATGGGTTCAAACTAACATCATGCATCCATTCCATTTGAACTACCTCAAGGGTAGTTTTCCGAAGAGCTTCTTTCAATTCGTTCACTTGTCTTTTCATGAGAGAAGCTGCTGACTTTGCTGCTCTAGCTGTTTCATGTACATTACAATATTCTTCAAGCATAAGTAAAACCTTTCTCACAGACCCATCATTTTTCACCTGATCTAAAGCAAGTTCCTTTGATGAGACTGTTAATTGCTTCAAGTGCTCATTTTCTTTATCTAAACAAGCCAATAAACTAGGAGCAACTCTTTCTTTCAAATAGAGACCAACGTGTTTCTGAAGTTGGATTTCAAGCTTTTTCTTCATAAAATTGAGTGACTGGTCAAAGCCTAGATTTTGCTCAACTGATGAAGTTATATCATGAATGCATGTGTCAAGAAAAGAATCTATAACACCTATTTTCCAAATAAAGAATGAATGATCATCCAATAAACCTCCAACTTTCCAGACATACTCAGATATAGAATTCCAAGAATTTATTAAATCTGCCAGAGTATGAAATTTACTCGAAGGCATTGCAACAGAACCATCAGCTGAAGACAGCATAATATCACTGGATTCCAATTCCAAGAAAGGCTTAACAAGTGCAGCCAGTAGTGCTTTGCTTCTCAAAATATGTAGCTCCCTTTCTTCTTCCACACCAACTAGAGATTGAAATTGACAATTCACAGAAACCAGGGCATTTTTAATATCAGCTTCTCTCTTTATAAGAGAAGAAGTCCTAACATCCCTCTGACTCCAAGTTTGATGGAGTTGGTCCAGTTGTGCTCTACAAACTTCCTCTTGGGATGCAAGTTCCTCTGCCTCTTCCCACGAAAGATGATCTCTGCCCTTTACTGCAGCTTCTTCAAGAGCCAGCTGCTGCTCAGTAATAAGACCAACCTTAACAAAATAATTCTGCTCAAGTTCAGCCAGTGATGCTCTCTCCATTTCAACCTCCACAAGCTGCTCCATTGCAGTTTCTATAGACCCTCGAACTTGTGATATCAACCCAAATGCATCCATAACTTCTGAATTTAAAGAAACAGCGGATCGTATTACATCTGGAAGAACAACTTCAGTCATTTGACTAACCAATCCCTTACAGGATATCAAAATGGTTTTGAAAATGGAAACCCAATTACTTTCAGAAGAAAACTTTGAATGAACTTTGTTAATATCAAGAAAAGGGATGTCCTCTCCAATAAATTGCCACAGATCATTAACAAACTCTGTCACAAGATTACATTTTTCCACGAGTTCTTCAAACTCAGCAAAAATAGTTCCAGAATCATTCTGCAACACATTGTATTGATTTCTTCCTCCTGACAAATCACTATATATATTAAGTATTCTATGCTTAACCTCGTTATAAAGTGAACTTACAGCTATATTCAGAATTGATAGTGCCTTCTCTCTCTCCTCTTCTAGCTCACCCGATAGTCTAGTATTGTTTGTCCCATCATATCTAGATGGAACAGAAGAAAATCCATCATCCTTTCTCAAAGGACCAGTGGACTGCATGAATTTCATGAAAGCTGACAATAGGCGATCCTTAGTTTTTGATTCTGACTCTGAGCCAATAGAACTCTCTAATTCAGCACACTCTTTCTCTAATTTGTCTATTTCTATTGCATACTTCTCCACCCTAAAACAAAGATCATCATGACTGCATTTGATAGAATCAATGCTATCTACATGAAATCTTGCAAAAAGTTCAGAAGCCTGCCTTCTGGCAAGAGAGAGTATATCAGATGACAGGGCATTGATAGATAGTTGCAGAACTTGTGCCCAGCTATGGACTGCGCTAGTTGAAAGGTAATTTAATGGTAGGATTCTTTGCAGAGCCAATGAGTATGCTTGCAGAGAAGTTACAGCAGAAGTTAGTCCATCACCCAACTCAGCTATGAATTGAGAAACTTCCCTATCTATATCATGGCATTGTGCTTGTGTTGGCTCAGGAACAACAGTTAGTGGAACACCGGCTACAATAACCGCAGATGTAAGAGATAAGGTGACTTCCATGTTACTCAACTTAAAAGAAGCATTTATTTCTGGGATCAAGTTGCATCGTAGAGCATCAAGAATCCTTCCATGTTGCTCAGCCCAACCCATTGCCTCCTGAGCTTTCTCAGCAACCATATCCTTTGCTTGGGCAAATTCCCGAGCCTGAATTTCAAATGAAGCTCGAATTTTCTCTGAATTAGAGGTTGCTTCAGCAACAAGCGACTTTGCAGATGTCTCATGCAATATAAGGCTAGACCTCTCTTGGTCAGCTTGACAGTATAGAGAAGAGGCAAGCTCATACTGGATTAGAACATCAGCAAATCTCTGGCACATAATTCCCAAAAGTCAATTCAAATTAAGAAAATAATAAAAACCACTCCCCGTTAAACCCGACTAGCGAGTGTGGGATGGAAGAAATCCTTGTACGCAGCCTTACCCTTGCATAATTGCAAAGAGGCTGTTTCCTGGATTTGAACCCATGACCTTTCAGTCATGAAAGAACAGTTTTACCACTGCTCCGGTTTGTCCCCTTTAAATTAAGAAAATATTAATTGAGAAAAATCGAAACAAAGCCACAATGTAAACATATAAAAAAATGACATTTCATCCATACCTCAAGTGCGGATTCGACAGCTGGCAGGCTAGTCAATAATTGATCATGGTGTTCCTACTCAGATTTGGGGGAGAAAAAAATCAGCTATTGGTCATATATTAGCTAGATCTCAAGAAAGTATGAGAGAATATATAAAAACCTAGCTACATTGTATGACGACAATTTTCACACACAGGATTAGCTAATTAAAGGTTACAAGTTACAAAAAATAAAGGAATTCAAATACGACGTGTGTGCATATTTATTTCAAATACATTATGCAAATTCTGAAATAGCTCATGCAATACAGATAAACTACACAAACACTTGAAACTTAAACATATGCTCCTTAGCACATCTGAACAAGAAATCAACTACATAAAAGTTTGGAATGCAGCTCATCTAATTATGTCAGACACACATACTTCCACAGAATGATAGCTTTTAGTTCGGTAAGACGGTAAGTACCTGTAAGGGAACACGAATTTCCAGCACTCGAGATGCAAATAGACTCAAGCTAACAGCCAACTCCATGCCTTTTCTTTCTTCACCACCAATAGCAGCTTCATCATGAAAATCACCCCGTGTCCACTCCACAAGTGGATCCCAAACAAAAACTTCTAATAACATTAAAAGTATGTCTTTATTCTTCCTTAGGACGCCCATAACTGTCTCACAGTTTGTTCTGAAGCTACCCTCTGTTCCAGTCAGTCCTAAAGCAGTTTCAACCATTTGGGTAAGACGGAAAGGAACAATCTCTGGAATTTTTAATCTTTGTCCTTTATCAAAGCACACATTGTAATCAATATGTACAATATCCCCACTACAAAAATCTATAAGAATGTTGTCTAAATGTCTGTCACCCAGTCCCAGAACATGACCAACCATACTCATTGCAGCAACACTTCCAGAATACCTGCAGATCGAAGAAAATTAAATTATAATGATATAACTGTTTTTTGCCTAAGCAAATGCGCATCATATGCCAACCAAAAGTCTGGAAGTAATTTCAAATAGAATAGTCAGAAAATAGAATTTAGTAATAGACATCCAACGATAACAAGAAGACCATGCCAAACTGATAGGAACCTGAACCCAACTGACCCATCTGCCACTAAAGATGAGCTGAAAAGCCCCTACAAGTTCATTCTCGTAAGCTGAAGAAAACAATTTAGGAGGGAACAACAGAGAATGGCTTGTATGAGGAACTAGGAGGGAAAGTTAGAGGAGAGAAAAAACAGATCAGATGGATATGTCTAAATAGAGAAATTCAAACGTGCTGGGGGATCATGTGTATTCTTCCCATTTTGGCTTATAGCTTGGGGCGAAAGGAAGTTCTTCTTTAGCTGAGAGAATTGCTCTTTCATTTCTGTCTATTGATCTAATTTTATTCAGTAATACAATCTCCTTTCTAGATAGGAACTAGAATCGTATAAAAAACTTGGTTAACTCCACAAGAAAATAAAGGAACAAAAGTCTAGGATGACATAACTTGGTAATACAGTCAAATAATAAGAAAAATTAAAATAAAAAATCCTCTAGCTCCTGATTGCCAAGATCACTCCCGAATCCTGCTAATTCTCTCAAGAACCACCTCCCTTCCTATTCATCTCACCTTATGGCAGTGAGAGCATAACTATCCTCTTCTCCACTTAGATCACGCCAGTTGTCCTCCTCTCATATACACACAGCCCAGTCCACTCTTGTGTCCCATTCACCCCAGTTGAGGGCAGCCAATATCTTTTCTCTCCTCTATGATAAACTTTGGCTATGGGGGTATCATAGCATAAGTTAGTGTGTAAAAAAAGAATGACAAGCCTTCAAAGTGTAGATTGACCTAAACTTATTGTGTTTGTTAGAATATTTAGAAAATATCGTATAATATCTAGGTTATATCTTAAAATAGTTTAGGGTATCCTAGATAATCTCTTCAAAGTGTAGATTGACCTAAACTTATTGTGTTTGTTAGAATATTTAGAAAATATCGTATAATATCTAGGTTATATCTTAAAATAGTTTAGGGTATCCTAGATAATCTCTTAGGAATAGTTTCCCCATTTCCTAATATTTAATGATTTGTTTCCTTATTTTAGGAGCCCCCTATTTGATCTAAATAAGGTTTATCACTTTGCCTTTTGTAGCATTTCATATAACGTTTATAAAATATTATTCAATCTCTATTATTTCTTTTCTTCCTTCCATCAATGCCTAAGTCCCTATAATTTCAACAGTATTCAAAAGTAGTTCCAAGCCCAAGAATTTGAAGTGGTAAAAGCAAGCCAAAATAAATAAACAAATCACAAAAACCAAATACATATATAGGCAAAGGACTTTGACCAATGAATTTAATCATAAATGATGTAACCACGAAATGCATCAGCAAAAGTTTAAGAGTCCCTCGAATGTACCTTTTCATTTTTGAGCTGAAGGCTTTATACCCTTCACTAGCACACCATAGTTCTTGGTAAAGAAGATGTCTAGGCACTTCCTTCATGAGATCAAGAAGAACTTTACATTTGACTTCGTGAGGCCAATCCCTTCGAGAAATCACTCTCTTAATGCCTTTCTCCTTAAGTGCAGGTATGATCTTCCCATAAAACATATCACTGGGACGGGGAACAGGTGGAGGAGCTGTGGCTTTTGTATTTGCAGTGCCTAATGCCAAAAACTGTGCTAGCTGGACACGGGTTTGCCAAGATTTAAATACACTGTAAATGCTTATTACATTATCCACCCACTGGATTAGACCAGCCCGACCACTGATTGGAGTCACCGAATAATGGCGAATGCCAAGAGAGTTGCTACAAGTAGAAGAAGAAGAATGTAGAAAACCATTTATCGCCTGCAGTAATTGCATAATTCTAGCATCAAGGCGCAAATCTTCTCGTCCTTTAAGGAGATAAGTGTACTTCTGACCATCCGAACCAAGTATACCAAGTTTCTTAGGCTTAGTCTTTGTTGATAAGATAGTGAGTTGCTCATGGAAAGAAGAAATTGTGACAACCCCTTGGAGATCAGTTGCTTTGTCAGAGTCAGGTACTTTTATTTGTTTCTCAAGACCTGGCATTGGAACATCTGAAGATGATAACAGAGCCAAATGTGGTGCAACTTCTTGTAAGGAAATTGAAGACTTCCTCTGGTAAGAAGCCAAGGATGCAGCAATACTATCAAAAGCTCGCCATACATCTCCTAGAGCTGCCGACGAAGCTGGAGTAGTCTTAAAGGATACAATAGCTGACTTCAGTTGTTCTTTATACTCTTCCTGGAACCAAGCTTCATGAGGAGTCTCAGGTTTTCGAGAAGTTGAAGCTAAACGACGTTCCAGAGCCACAACTATTGGAGCCATCATTGCAGAATAACGAGCAGAATTTATCTTGTTCTTCTCATTCTGACTAAGAGTAACATTTTCTGAAATTCTTGCAGCCTCCTCTTTCAGCATATTTATTCGCCTCATCACATCTGCAGCAAAATAAAGTCAGCCCCATTTTGCTTCACGGATAATAAATTGTAATTGTGCAATGAAAAGAAACAATGAAATGCATCCCTCAAACATTAAAAAAGTCATTAATTCTTTAATGTAATTCAGTAAATAGGGATCCCATGATCAATAAAATATTGGAAAATAAGGAAAACAACCTGTATGAAGTTCCTGAAGAGTACTGAGCCACAATTCCTCCCAGAGAACAGTAACATTTCCCAGTTCATTTATCATTAGCTGAACATCCTGAACCAATCGAGGGTAAAGTTCCCTCTGCATGAAACAAATAAATTTTAAGCATCCTATAAGCTACTTTTCCCAAGCAAGCTAACAAACAGTCAGTATAAAAGCAATAACTTCAACTGAAATTTTAGCCAGACTAATGAGTGCATATCGTGATAAATATGTCTGGTCAAAAAAATGAGTACCTATCAAGAAGCTTTAAGCTGAAAACCAGATTACTATCTATTTGTCCCTCCAAATTCCAATTTCAGACTAATGAGTGCATATTGTGAATTTGTAACGAGGATGCTCAGTCACTTACGATATTCAGTGTAACACACTAACACTTCAAAGTTTAAGTCCATTTGAGGACAATAATGCAAACTTGAGACAGGACTGCTACTGCTAATATAGGTTCTGAGCACTTATTTTAGGATGTGAACCTAAACTCAATAATTGAATGAACAATGACAACGTCCAAGATATGACAAAATAAGAGGAAATGCTACATTACCAAGCACGTAACTGTAAACCAAAAGTATATTCCCTTGCTTCTTCTAAACCTCGTTGCTAACCAACAAAGTCATTTCAAGTTCAATGGACGGACCTAATAACTCATATAAAGACAAAGGGACACATTTGAGACTTTTCATGTTGTAGTACAGTTTCAGAGTCAAAACTGTCAATGACCACCCCTTTTAAAAGCTTCATTTGCTAAGTAAAGCTGTAAAGGCATGATTGGTTTTATATCTATATAAATCCACTCACACAAAAGCCCTTTGAACATGAAGTGTCGACAACCCATAAGCCCATTTTACCTTGTACTTGTTAGAAATAATATTAATTTATAATATTAATTTATTATTATTAGAATAGTCTAGAATAGTCTAGATTGTGGGCTTGGCCCATTAGGTCATTCCGTTAGGTCTTTTAGTCTCTATAAATAGAGAGACTCCTTGTACAGACTTACACACTTGAATATACAATATATTTCAGATTCAATTTGGTATCAGAGCTCTCGATCTGAGGGCTCTGCTTCCGCATATATATCTTTTCCTTTCTTTTTATTGTCGTGCATCATACCGGCAACCATCCTTTCACACCTAACCCTTATTTAGTCACAAATTTTTTGTCCTCAACCTCGTATCATCAGGAAAAAGATCGTCAGCCTCCGTTCATCGCCGGAAACCGCCAGAAAACCACCGTCCGCCACTGTTCATCGCCGTTAGACTGCTTTTCCGGCGACTTTTCCGACCAACCACCACGCGATCAGGAGCGGCTCAGGGAGGCGACCCCGTCTGTCCAAGCCGCGTGTTGATCGGAGCATCCACGCGCCGGTGGAAGTCTCCGGCGGCCGAACCACTGTTCCGGCGCGTGAGCCACCGTCCGGCCACCGTTCCAGGCCGGACCACCACCATCTTGCTCGCCTCCTCACCCTCTTTCCAGATCTGGTCTCCGTTCGTTGTGGGTCCCATCCGTTTGAAAGATATCAGTGAAAACCCCGCTGTTTGGACACTTTTATGCAACGTTTTTGCGCGATTTCTTGCTTTCTTGTAGTTCTTTTCTATTTTCTGGTCATCTCCTTTTATTTTGTGATGGAGGGCTCAAATAATGCGTCCAAAAACACGACTGGCATCATCTCCGGTACTACCCCATCTCCATTCTTTTCTCGGGCCCGTGATTCCAATTGGAACAGTGGACGCGGTCGCAGACGTGGCCGCAGACAAAGGCCTCGTTGCAATTATTGCCAGAATCTTGGGCATTTTGAAGAACGCTGCTATAGGCAAGGAAGCACAGACACTTGTAAAAACAGGAAGAGTCGGGTCCGACACGCTCCGACACGGCGACACGCTCCGACACGCTCCGACACGGTGTCGGACACGCGATTGACTTTTTCCGACACGTTGACCATTCCGACACGCGAATTTGACCGTGTCCGACACGGTCAAATGGCATTTTCGTAATTTTTTTTTAAATTTTTTTTAAATTTTTTAAAAAAAATTATTTTTTTTAATTTTTTTAAAAAAAATTATTTTTTTTAAAAGTTAAAATATATTAATAAAGCTTCCACCTGATCATATCAATTTTATCTTTTTGTCTTTTTTCCCCTTAAGTAGATAAGAGATCATCTCAGCATCATTGTTATCAATTCCTATCACGCTCTTGTTGTATCTTCTTCTCTCTGATCTCTCTCTCTAATATGATTAGATCTCTCTATATGATATTATATCTCTCTCTCATCCCAGTTCTTATTTTTTTGATTAAAGCTTCCATCTTTATAACGTATTGATGGGTATTATTAATTCAGTTTCATTTTTTTGTTAAATTATTAAATATTAAATGAAATATACACTATATAAATTAAAAATATTATTTAATATTAATACGTGTCCCAACGTGTCGAAATCCATAATTTTTTAGGATTGACGTGTCGGAGTGTCGTGTCGTGTCGTGTCACGTGTCGCGTGTCGTATCGGTGCTATATAGGCTATAGGAAGTACCCTCATTTGAAGCCACCGACTGCCAACTTTGCTCAAACTGATGTTACGCCACCTTCAACTGGATTAGTAACTCTTTCAAGTGCCGACTATGAGGCACTTCTCAAGAAGGTTTCTTCTCAGCATCCTACTCAAGACACTGGTAATCATGTTGCTTGTTTTATCAATCATCTCTTGGACCCTGGATAATAGACTCAGGTGCTACTCATCATATTTGTGGTAATAAAGATCTCTTCACTTCACTTTCTTATTCTAATAACCTACCCCCTGTCACTCTTGCTGATGGCACTAAGGCTCCTGCTCGTGGAATTGGGGAAGCCAAACCAACTCCTCTTTTAACCTTGAGTTCAGTTTATTATATACCTAGCATTCCTTTTAATTTAATCTCTGTTAGCCAGTTGATTCATTCTCTTTCATGTACTATTACCTTCTCTAAACAATCCTTTTCTATGCAGGATTCGGGTACGGGGAAGACGATTGGAGCAGGCGTTGAGTCACGAGGTCTCTACTATCTGATTGCACCACCTTCTCCAGTAGCTTGTTCTCTCACAGAGTCTCCTGAGCTAATTCACAGCCGTCTGGGTCATCCAAACCTCTCCAAGCTTCAGCATATGATTCCCTTTTTATCCAATCTTAAGTCTTTAAACTGTCATTCTTGTCAGCAAGGAAAACACACTCGCTCCTCCTTTGCTAATAGAGTCAATAAAAGAGCTGATGCTCCTTTTTCTATTGTTCATTCTGATATTTGGGGTCCGAGTCGAACAATGTCTGTTTTGGGTTTTCAGTATTTTGTCACCTTTATTGATGATTTCTCCCGTTGCACTTGGGTTTATTTAATGAAAAATCGTTCTGAGTTATTTTCAATTTATCAAAAGTTTTGTGCAGAAATAAAAACTCAATTTGGTGCTTCTATTCAAATCTTGCGCAGTGATAATGCAAAAGAGTATATGTCTCTTGAATTTTCTAAATTTCTGGATACACAAGGGACGATACACTAGACTACCTGTCCCCACACTCCACAACAAAATGGAGTCGCTGAACGTAAAAATAGACATCTAGTTGAAACTGCACGTACCCTTCTCATTCATATGAACGTCCCACTCCGTTTTTGGGCAGATGCAATTATCACCTCATGTTTCCTTATCAACCGCATGCCCTCTTCTGTGCTCAATAATGATGTTCCCCACAGTATTTTGTTTTCTGGAGCACCTTCTTATCCTCTGCCTTTACATATTTTTGGCTGTACTTGTTTTGTTCATGATCTTACTCCAGGTAAAGACAAGTTGACATCCAAGGCCTTCAAGTGTATTTTCCTTGGGTATACACGTTTTCAAAAAGGGTATCGTTGCTATTCTCCTGATCTCAAGCGTTATATCGTTTCTGCTGATGTCACTTTCCTTGATCAGCAGCCTTTTCACTCTACTCCGTCTCCAGTGTCCCAAGTTGATCAGGTCCTCCCTGTTCCTTTTCTTGACTTGTCTTTACCAGCTGCAGGTGACCCTATTCCAGAGGAGCAACCAATTACCTCCATACCTGCAGATCGTCCTCTCCTCACATACCAGCGTCGTCAGCCTGCACCTCCTTCGACTTTGCCTCTTGATGACTCATCGCCCTTTCCCGTCGGCTCTTCTCCTCCGGATCCTCCATCAGAGACTCCTCCCATTGCCCTTCGGAAAGGTATTCGATCCACTCGAAATCCTCATCCCCTTTATTCTTTCTTGAGTTATGACAGACTTTCTTCACAACATTTTACTTTTGTTTCTAGTCTCTCTTCTGTTTCCATCCCTAAAACCACAGGTGAAGCACTATCTCATCCAGGGTGGCGCCAGGCGATGCTTGATGAAATGCAGGCACTTCACTCCAATGGCACTTGGGATCTTGTTCGTGCTCCTCCCGGGAAGTCTGTTGTTGGTTGTCGATGGGTGTTCACAGTTAAAGTTGGTCCTGATGGCACTGTTGATCGCCTTAAAGCTCGCTTAGTGGCCAAGGGATACACACAGATCTTTGGTCTTGATTATGGGGATACCTTTTCTCCTGTTGCTAAGATGGCTTCTGTTCGCCTGTTTCTTGCCCTTGCCGCCATTCATCACTGGCCCCTTCTCCAACTTGATATTAAGAATGTTTTTCTACATGGTGACTTGCAGGAGGAAGTTTATATGGAGCAACCACCAGGTTTTGTTGCTCAGGGGGAGAGTTCTGGAATGATATGTAAACTTCGGAAATCTTTATATGGCCTAAGGCAATCTCCTCGGGCCTGGTTTAGCCGCTTTAGTTCAGTTGTTGAATCCTTTGGCTTAATCAGAAGCAAAGCCGATCATTCTGTCTTTTACCGGCATAGCTCTTCTGGCCAGTGTGTTTATCTCCTGGTCTATGTTGATGACATTATCATTACAGGCAGTGATCAGACCGGGATTGATCAGTTGAAAGAGCATTTATTCAATCAATTTCAGACCAAAGATCTTGGCAGACTTCGATATTTCTTGGGGATCGAAGTTGCACAGTCTAGGCGGGGCATTTCCATCTGTCAGAGGAAGTATGCACTGGATATCCTAGATGAGACTGGCATGTTAGGCTGTAAACCCATTGATACACCTATGGACCCCAATGTTAAGTTATTACCAGGACAGGGGGAGCCACTGCCAGATCCTAGTCGCTACCGCCGATTAGTTGGAAAATTGAATTATCTTACTGTGACAAGGCCAGATATCTCCTTCGCAGTGAGTGTTGCAAGTCAATTTCTTGATTCTCCCTGTGACTCCCATTGGGATGCAGTTATTAGAATTCTCCGATATATTAAAAAGGCGCCAGGAAGAGGTTTATTATATACAAATAAAGGGAGTTCAGAGATCTCTAGTTATTCAGATGCTGACTGGGCAGGTTCTCCTTCAGATAGACGATCCACCTCAGGGTATTGTGTTCTCTTCGGAGGAAATTTGATCTCTTGGAAGAGTAAGAAGCAAACTGTGGTCGCCAGATCCAGTGCGGAGGCAGAATATCGGGCAATGGCAAATGCAACCTGTGAGCTCATCTGGCTGAGTCAATTGCTGAAGGAACTCCATCTCTGTGAACAAAGGCCTATGAAGCTCATTTGTGACAACCAAGCCGCTTTGCATATATCCTCTAACCCAGTCTTTCATGAGAGGACCAAGCATATAGAAATTGACTGTCATTTTGTTAGAGAAAAGATTCAGTCAAGGGAGATCGAGACAACATTTGTCAATTCCAATGATCAACTTGCGGATGTATTCACTAAAGCTCTTAGAGGTCCTCGAATAGATCATATTTGTAACAAGCTGGGAGCTTTTGATATATACGCACCAGCTTGAGGGGGAGTGTTAGAAATAATATTAATTTATTATTATTAGAATAGTCTAGATTGTGGGCTTGGCCCATTAGGTCATTCCGTTAGGTCTTTTAGTCTCTATAAATAGAGAGACTCCTTGTACAGACTTACACACTTGAATATACAATATATTTCAGATTCAATTGTACTGAAATCCTTTTTTTTAAAAAAAAAAATAAAAAATAAAAATTAGAAGAATAGAGACGACAAGGCTCAAATTCTAGAGCACTTGGTTTAAGAGGCTTTAATATCATGTCAAGGATCAATTCTCCCAAAAGCTGAAGCTGTTAGCTGAAGATACAACATTGGTTTTATATCTCTAACACGTTCTCTCATGCAAGAGTCCTCTGGAGCTTTAAGTGTGGACAATACACGAGCCTACTTGTGCTAAAATATTTCTATAGGAAGAATGTCGGCAAAAAGGATCAAACTCTTGAACACTTAATCAAGGATACCATGATAATTACCAACTCTCCTAAATATTTAAGCTATTAGATAAAAGCTCATAATTGATTTTACTTTTCTACCAAAAACAAATAAAATATATAATAGAAATTACAAATACTGAATCATTTATCACTCTGAAAAGATTAATGGACTAAACATCACTGTTTAAATACACATCTTAGCGGACCAGTTCAGCCCGGTTGAACTGTCACATGGGGAGAAGAACTTTGATGCCCAATTATCCACATGGTCTTAAGAGAATATTTGTTGTAAAAATATATATATATAAGCTACATTAAGCACACAGAACTTTTCATATTACCAGACAAGCCAGCACATGATGAAGCTCTTCTGAGGGCCTCTCTTCATAAGCATTAACATCAACTAGTGTTGGGTACACTATAGAACAGGGAGACTGCTTGGCCAGCATGATCAGTAATCCCTCCAACTGCTTCCGAATCACTTGTTCAGGATGAGCACTAATACGTGCAAACAGTTGAGGCGTAACTTCCTAAAAAGACAATTTCAATAAAATTTCAGCAAACAATCCTCCCCTCAAAACTGAAAGAAACTAAAGTAAAAGCCTAAGATCTAGCTTGCAACCTGCCATGGCAACAAAGGAACAGCCAAAAGAGCAGATTCAAGAGTATCTTTCAACTCCACACCATAATTGAGAAGTATATGCAATATATACAATGTAGCCCTCAGGGTGTAACTGCAATTTTTTTGCTTCAAAGCCTCATAATCAGAATCAGGCATCTGACTATGGTAAAGATGGGATGATGAATAAGAAAGATATTGTATGTAACCATGAGCTGCATGTCCAAACAGGGACACTCTTCTCTTCCGCAAAGACCACCAAATATCAACAAAATCATCCAATGCAGATAATATGTCAGATTCTCCAAGCCCAAAATTTGTATGCAACAAACAAATCCTCAATTGAGAAGATACCATGACTGAAAGACATTCACCACCAGAGTTTTCAGCACCAGGTGCCCCTGCAGCAGTTTCAATAATATTCACTAAATGCCAAACCAATGTCTGCAGAGGATTGCCATTACTTGAGTGCTCTGCAGAATCAAGCCAAGAACTTCCATCTTCCTGTTCATCTATGAAACCTTTCATATCAATATTGTCCTGAAAAAGACACAAAACCAACGACTTCATTCTTTGCACCTCATCCTTAGTCAACTTGAATCTTTCAGGTGAAATTTCTGGAACAAGTATGGGAGAAAATAAGCATGATTGGAGGGTAGTTTCACTTTGAACAAGGAGTGAGTCTCTGGCTTGCTTAAAGCACCAAGAAGCATAAGAAGTCCATGACTTGCCCATGGTGGGGCAAAGACGAGAAGACAATTTCGTTGCTGTACCAACAATTTCCTCAGTAATAGAACCAAAATTTTGTTTACAGTTTAAATTTTCTTCATTGCCGTCTTTGCCAAGTGGCGCTGATTCAGCCATATCAAAATCTGCTGGCATCTTAAGAACTATACTCTCTGGACTCCAATCTGAATAATCCCGCCTCAGCCAATCTGCAAGTTTCAAGCATGCTTTGGCCTTCAGAATTCTCTCTTCAGCATCAGATATTATAGATGTTGAAGACACCATGCAAGGACGTAAAAATGACCAAAGGTTTGTGAAAGCATCTTCAAACTTGTTTTCAGCATATTGCAGTAAAATGCTCTCATACTGCAAATTTAAGACAAGAAGATTGCGATGCTCCTCCTCAGGGCAAGCAGACACATGATCTTTGAGATAGTTGTTCAGACGATTTGCCAACAGTAGATTACTTTGCTTACGGGATAAATTATGCAAATTCATGCAGAATTTCAGAGTGATTGGAGAAGTTGGGGAAATGGTTTGATAAACCCGAAGGACTTTCAGCCATGGATTACAATCTTGACGAATTTTACTAATAGATGGCACTGGCTGAAGAAAATTGAATATTGACTGAAGTTGTTTGGCCTTCTCATGGTATGATTTAAGCTTGTAATCCTCTTCTACAAGGAAAATGCTGTGCAACTGAATAGCAAGAGGTGTTGCTTCAGCTAACCCATCAAGTGGAAGAACAGAAAGTGATTCTTCCAACATTGACCTCGCTTTCTGCAAATCATGCAGCACCTTATCACTTTTTCCCTCTTTCTGGAAAAGCAATGATTGCAGAAGCATCTGCTCACTCCGTTGCAAGGCTATTTTTGGATCAAGGGTAAGCTCGCTATTACTTTTAGGCGTCAAATCAAGGCATGACCATGCAGCCTGATAATCACCCTCATCAAAATGTGCTAATGCATGGATTGCATTAATTTCATTGCCTGCCATTGTCAGAGCACCAGAATAACTTCTACCAGCATGCTTAGCGCGAAGCAGTTGCAGCTCTAATAACCAGGTTTCAAGAGATTTCCAATCAGATACAGCTGCATAACTCTCAATTACACGTGCTATAACAAACTGTATACCATCAGAACCCAGGGAACTGAGTGACTCTTCAGTTTGTAGCAAGTGAGTAAAGTGAGCTGCAGCATTCTCATACTCGCCTCTAGCCTGATATACAAGCCCACTTATCCATGAAAGGGGTCTAACAGTTCCCCACTCATTGAAGGACTGGTTTTCTTCCCCAAGTAAGGAGGAGAACGTAATCGAAACCCATCTTTGTAGGCCAATTAAAGAATCTGGTTCAGAACTCTTGCAAAGAGCTAGTGAAATATGTCTTAAAACTTTTAAGACATCTCCTCTATACCTTCCTCTGATATTGTGGAGGTTATCAGTTACCTGAGCCCTAGATTTTTCCTTCAAAGATGACACAGAAAGATTCTTGAGCTCCTGTAAGCGCAGTGTACAGTATTGAATAACAGCATCATTGCAATGTAGAGCCAATCCAGCATTCATCATTGGTTCACATATACGAGAAAACCAATCCTCACATACTTTTTTGTTTGCTCGAAAGAATAAAGAACTCTGACGGGTAACAGGTGGTAAAATAGCGGACCCCTCATATGCATTATACACATTTTTCTTTAGAGCCTCAACAAAATCCAACAGTAATCTCATTGGTAACAAGTGAGCACCAGAGGATCCTATCATACTTAAGTTCCCATCGTTTTGCTCATTATCAAGTTGCAAAAGGTGTGCAATGTCCAAGAGCATGCGCTCTAGAGCAGCAAATGTTTGGGTAGGCCCACCAAGGTTAGTCCGAAGACGTGTAGCAATACAATACCGAGCTGCTTCTTGTACAGCCCACCAAGCACCGGCTAAATTATTGACAGAACAGATTCTTTCAAGTATGTCTTCATTCACTTGCATATCCAACCATAGAGAATTAGCACCAAAATTTCCATTTTCTTCAGGCTGACTTAAAATAGCATCCTTTGAACTCTGGCAACTATGAATGAGCCGCTGAATCCAACAAGAAAGAGGTACCTTCCATCTTTGTGAAATGTAACTTAAGATCGACACAAGATGTTGTGACTGCAGTTGCAAAGGCAGTTGCTTTAGGGCAAATAATTGTTTCCAGTGCATCTTAGAACTGTTGCCTAACCCAAGGTCAACAGGCCTAAATCTCCCACAATCATAGAGACCACATGTATATACAGTAGTAGGCAAAATATGAGCAAGTAGTCTCACATATACATCCTGTATCTCTATAGCTGGATCCCCAAGTTTCTCCAGTACCACTTCAGCTAAGGGATAAAAACATACAGGATGTAAAAGCTTTGCTTGCATAAACATCTCCAAAGTTGTTGCAACATGTGATCTCACTTCTGGTTCCCTCTCAAATGCACCACCTAAAAGTGAGAAAACTAAGTTCATGATTACACCAGCATGTCTGCATGTTTCATAGGAGAGACCTTTTTTGCTTGATATCTTATTAACAGCCATAACATTCTCACAGAACTTTTGTCCCCAATCTAGAGCTGCTAACTTAATTGCCAAAGGAGAAGAAACATGAAGGGCTTTTATAAGGAGCTTGCTATAGTTTTCTAGATGCTCAGTAATCACCGCTGAAAATCCATCACTGAATTGATCATCACCATCCTCCTTTTTAATTGGAAACTCCACAAAAGCTTTGTCACAATTCTGTTCTCTTACAGAACACTTAATTAAGAACTCAACTGAATTTAACCTCTCCAATGTCTTGACAACAGCAAACTGCAATTCCATGAAGGCCTGAATAGGTAATTTAAAAGGATTCATCTTTTCTGTGACAAAGGACACCAACTTTTCTGACCTCCTAAGATACATCGTAGCAATTTCTGTTTGGCCAATCAAACTGTTATCCCCACCCAAGGAAATGCATGCTAATAGAACTTTCAAATCAAACTTGATTAACGCGAATAATTCAAGTTTTGAAAATGTTTTAGAACCTATGACACAATTGAACTGATCCGACTGACTGGTGTTTTTTCCTATCACACTCGTCAACAGCTCCAATTCTTCAATCAATAAGGTGATTGCTTCATTGACAACTTCTTGATTCCCATGCTGAAGCAAGAAAACATAAGTAGCTGCAGAACTTCCCGTTACCAAGTGATTCGGATGCAATCGCAGCAGAGAAATTGATGTATCGAACTGCAATAACTTACGCACAGATGATGGGAGGAGGCCAATCTTCTGCAACGATAATAATTGGAGATTAGTTTTCAAAACCCCATGAACTTGTAAAGAGGTAATCCTCCTAAATCCTTCCCGTTGAGCAGTTGCCCCAAATTCCAAGCTTTGAAATAAGATATCAATAGCAAGAGGATAAAAATTCGAAAACTGCTCACGCAATATTTCTGCCAAAAGAGTTAAACACTTCCAAGAATCTTCTATCCATTCAGGCCATCCAAATTTCTGCCCAATCATAGACAAGCACCTCAGCAAGCGAGGCAGCAACACGCTAAGAGGATTGCTTATTTGTTCAAGCAGGTTAATTTCCAGCAAACCAGAAGCAGTGGACTGTAGAATTGTTGAAAAACAAGAAAGCAAAGCAAGAAGCCTCCGAAACTGCGGCGGGGTTCCGGGACTTCCATCCTGAAGCAAGGCCTCCATATCCCCCAAGAACTTAGTGAGCAACCTCAAGGACATGGGGAGACTACCAACCCAGTGCTTCTGAAACTGCAAGAAGCTGTCCATAATAACACGCCTATCTGATATGGCAAGGTCAGGCACCAAAGCCCAACCAAGAAGGAGGTCAACAATATCAGGGAAATGAGGCTGAAAACACCTCAAAAACTTCAATGATATCAAAGTAATAACACCCAGAAGCCTATGTAACAAACTCAGGGAGGTTCTCTCATCCTCAAGCAAGACCTGACACGCTTTGAGGATAGGCAAAGCATACCTATCATTTCCACCAACATTGAGAAACTCACGCAAACCATCCAGAGCCAATTCCTTATTCCCATCAACAGCACCAGTGACATTGCTCAACAACGGTAAAGCCCAACCAATGAAACGGTCAACCAAGCTTCCAAGCATAACATGGTTCTGTCTCGCGTTCGAGGTTACAGGGATTGAAGAGATTAAACCACAAAGAGCACCATACGCTACAACCGCTGCTTGCCGCACCTCGTAAGACCTGCGGCGAAGAAAAAGAAGTTGAAGTATGAAATTAGGGTTTAGGGTTTTGGGGGGGGGGGGGGGGGGGGGGGGGGGCGAGTGAACTTACTTGTCAGAGAGGAGTTGAGAGAAGCCTTGGGCGAGGAAAGCGGCGGAGTGAGTGACGAGGAGGGAGTTGTGTGGGTGAAGGATGGCGCGGTGGAGGGAATTGATGGCGGCGAGGCGAGGAGGAGAAGTGTCACCGTCGGAAGCGGCGGTGCTGGAATCGTCCTTGGGAAGTGCGGCGGAGAGAAGTGCCGCTAGCTGATGCTGCTGCTGCTGCTGATGCTGATGTAAGCCTTGCATCTCTGCGTTTCATGGCTTACTGCGTTGCGTTTGCGTGACCATGAATTTTTCGCCACCTTGTATTCTTGACAGATTTTTAGATCATATCATCATACCACTTTTTATTTGATTAATTTGGTCAAATTGTATTTTAATTGTGATGTCTTGCTACTGTAAAAGAAGCAAAGCTCTTCCTGTATAACAAAAAAACATTTTCTCATAAGAATTTAATTCTTGCGTATAAATTTTTTTTTTTAATAAATATGAAGCCTACCACTAATTGAATCACAACATCAGAATTCATCCAATAAATAATATACCATATAAAAAAATCAAATCCCATAAAATAAATCACCGTGAATCGAAACCACTGCCAATTCAGCACCATTCACTTGATTAGGACCTTTTTTTTTATACATATAGATAACCTGGAGCTATATTCAAACTAGATAATAAGGAAAACTTCGACATTGGTTGGATCAGTTACATGCTCTAAGAAGTATGAACACTTTCATGCATTCTGCATGCCAACTATGTTAATCAATTCCCAAATAGTTAGGGCTCATTTGTTGGATATGATAGAATAAAGGTAAGATATGATATAGAGCTGATAAGGATAAATAAAATATGATATAAAGCTGATAAGTCGATATCATGTCCGGTGTTTGAGTACCTGATCAGCAATCTGATAAGATTACATAGAAGGAGATAGAAGGAGAAAGAAGGAAGAAAAAACAAAATACAATGCATTAAATACAAAAATATTGAGTAACGTAAGGATATATTGAATAGTATGGGGATATATTGGTATCCAATATTGATATGTTAAATCCTAACCCAGCTCTCTCCATAGAATAAGAAATCATGTATTGGATAGGATAAAATGAATCATATCCTATTGATCGACCAAACAAAAAATAAAAGTAAGATATGATAAGTTATCATATCCTATTTTTTTTCATAGATGTTTCAAGCACGCCTTAAGACTTTGCACAAACATTAACGTATACAAGAGCAATAAAGAATTTCCACAACCATATATGCATTAGTTAATTACGTTTTATATGCATGAAAACTGAGCACTTTAATTATTTACGGATATTTCTTCTTCTAAGTCTAACATTGCTTAACATCCATATCTCAGTTGCTGAAAGAAGTAACATTGTCCATTGACATGGCTCACACTCTAGAGAGAAAGAATGGAAGATCTCGTCTTCTAACTTCAATTACTGATCATCTGTTTGATTTTGCGTAAGTTGTAAAAAAATTTGTAATCTGGTCAATGAAGCAGAGAGGATGTTTCCCCAACATGAAAGGAAGTCCAGTCGTCTTCATTTATTTATCTTTTGGTTCTAAATATGGGAGGAGCAGAAGACATTTATGTTAAGTCAATAGTATTAGTGTAGTAGTAAGGGATGTAATAATTTATATGAGATTATAGATTCAAACTTATGTACTCCCGTTATATATATATATATATATAAATATATATTTAAGGGAGTGTATTGGATTAGAATTTTAAAAGATTTTTTTTGAGCTAAAAAATCTTATAGATTTTAAAAGACTATTTAGAATTGGAGAGAATTTAAAGACTTTCTTTACAATTAAGATTTCATAATATTGGATTTTAAAGGATTTTAATAGAATTTATAAGATTTAAAAGGATAATATGGATTTATAAAATTTCAAAGGACAATATGGATTTATAAGATTTTAAAAAATCATATGAATTTTTAACAAACATTCAAAATTACAAGAGTCAATAAAAAAAGGGAAAGGTTATACTTACAACCTATAATTGTTTACAACATTTTACAATCATATCATAACCGTTGATTTCCGTCAATCAATGGTTATCATTCATTGCAAATTAAATATTAATTAATGAGTTTGATTTGCGAAAATAATAACCGTTGATTGACGGAAATCAACGGTTAAGATATGGTTGTAAAATGTTGTAAACAAAAATAGGTTGTAAATATAATTTTTTCCGTAGCAAAAATAATAAAGAAATACAATGAAATTAATTAAAAAAAGTAAAACCTAATATAATTTTTTTATTCAATAACATAATATATTTTTTAACAAACATTGAAAATTACTAAACAACATCTTTTCACATATCTAATGAGTTGAAGATTATTTTCTTCATTTGGTATCAAAGTTCATGATAAAATTTCATTTGGAATTTTTTGCAATTGATCATGAAAACCTTGGAGTTTTTATTTTACGTGATGAGAGTTTTCTAACCATATATCATATGCATATTTTCATTGAATATTCTAAAAAAATTTCGAATCTGAAATTTTGGGTTTAATTACATGAAAGTTTAGAAAATTTCTCAAATTTTTTTCAATCGATACATTGAAACCTTAAATTGCTTTGGGGCTTTTGAGAAACAAGCTTTTAGTTATCTATTGACACAAAAATTGTTTGAAATTGTTTCCTATAGTGAAGGAATTTCGTTCATGAATATAGTGTTACGAAATATAGGGTTCATATTATGAAAGTTTCAATCTTTCTTTGATGATATTGTTTCATTGATGTAAAATGAAATTTTGTTTGAGATTTTTAGTTCTCCTGTTATTTTTTCACTGTTATATGTTGTTTTTAATACAAAAATCACACATTTTTTGTGCCAAGAAAAACTGTGACCCATAGCTTGAAAAATCACTTTCTAAACTTCCTAAATTTCTCAAAAATATGTTTTTTTAGATAAAATATATTAAAATCTCGTTGATTTGTTGTTTCTGGGTTGCTCTGTGATGAAAATAGCTCAAAAATATGTTCTCTTTTTTTTTTGACGAAGCTCCCATGGCGGAATCCAATTTCGAGCAGTCAACCTACCAAAGGAAGAAGAAAATACTGCAATAGAAGAATCTCAAGAAATCCTAAGAGTTAGGGTGAGATTGTGAGAGAGGCATCCTATTTGTATTTTTCACTAAAAAGTCTCACGAAATTCACGCCAATAGAAAATCCATTAAAATCGTCAGATTTTTGAATACCACAAAAAATTGTGATTCTGTTGTTTAAAATTCTGATTGAATACCAACAGATTTGGACGGATTGTAAAATAATCCTTTAAAATTCTAATCGAATACCACGAGACTTTTTTTCAATCCATTAAAATCCTAATCGAATACCAACGAATTTTTTTGTCCAAAAACAATCCACTAAGGGAGCGTTTGGTTGGTGAATTTTGTGGAGAAAGATGGGTAAATTGGAAGTGGGATTCTTGGTGAACCATGTTTGGTTGGACAGCTTTCAAAGTTGGCTATGTAAATCACTTCCCTAGTTCTCATGTTTGCATGTCTATCTGAAATGAAAAACTCAGCCAAATAATCCCATTTCATGTGTGGTATTTTGACTTATCTAGCTATTTGCTGACATAGCGAAAGCGTGCGATGACCACGATACCCTCCTCAAGCGCGCGAAAGTGAGATTGTCGTACCTCTTGTGAGTCGTGTTACTTGTCACTTTCCATTAACCATAGACTTGCAGAGACGAAGAGGGAAACATGCTGGGTACTGGGATGTGGAAAATAGTCTTCACCATGTTCCTTTTTCTGGTCTGAAACCCAAACGAAACCATCACTGTGGGAGGTAACTCGGTGGAATTTTTTTTTTTTTTTATGTTTCTGTTTTTTCTGGGTTTTTTTCAACACAAAGACTGTGTTTTTCCTTTTGCATGTTCCGTTTGCATGTTTCTGACCATGACCACAATCACATGCTTAAAGTGTTGGACCCAAATCCAGATTGCTAGCCTTTGTTAATAATGGCAGCAAACCCTCACCATTGTCAATCCTTGCATCCTAAAATGACAGATAAAAAAACAAAAAAATCAGAAGCCTCATATGGCTGGGTTATTGCAAAAAAGTCATCTCTTCGTTCCTTTATAATTTCAAGATGAGTATGGTAAACATCAACCAAATTTAAGATAATACAGCAACAAAACGTGTCATGTTGTTTCCAAATATTTGTTGGGAAAGTGTAGCGATAAAGCAATCACAGCTAGTTTCATGAGATTATGTTATCTGGTGTTATTGAATCATAGACTCTGTCCATAGCCTTCTTTGCCTGAATAAGAAACATAATTAGTTCATATATGCAAGCAAACCAGCATCATAAAATGAAACGGCAAAATTTGAAGACAGGGTTATTTTCGTAACTTTCAACTTTCTTTCCCATCTATATTTTACTTACATCCAAACATAGACATTATAAATTCACTTAATTTCCCCGGTAAAATTTATTGCAACCAAACAACTTTTTTTACATTTTCCTACCTAACTCACTTTCCAACCATTTTCCTATCAATTATATTTCTCTAATATTCAAAAAATTTCTCCTCAACCAAACGCCCCCTAAAATTCTTTGAAATCTCAATCTAATATACCCCTTTAGTGTCTTGATTAATTTGTGGAGAGAGAGTCGTTTTAAGGGGTATTTTTTTGAGGGGCTTGTTTATTTTACATTTGGCCTGCAAAAAATACAAAAATATTCTTAATAAACAAAATAAAATTAATTCAAATAGTTGTTAAATAGGATTTAGTTAAGTTTTAACAATATAAAATTTTATTTGAAAATATATTTTATACAGATCCCTTTAAAATTTGAATTTGAATATGGAAAATGTTATATTTACTACTTATTTTTCTTACTACTTGTTATTATCAAATCTTAACCGTTGATTTCCGTCAATCTAACGGTTATAATACATTGCAAATTAATAATTAATTAATAAGTATGACCCCATAAATTACAATCGTTAGATTGACATAAATCAACGGTTAAGATTTAGTAGTAACAAGTAGTAAAAAAAATAGGTAGTAAGTATAACCTCTCCCTTTAAATATTTTATTCTTATTAAATTTGAAAAGAGATAATAAATATCTTAAAAATAATAAACTCTATTCTTATTAAAAATGAGAAAGATTATACTTGTTATCTCTTACTTTAAAATTTTAATGGTTGATTTTTGCCAATTATAATTTATTGAAAAATTAATAATTAATTAATAAGTATGACCCAAGAAATTATAATCGTTAGACTAATAAAAATCAACGATTAAAATTTAATAATAAAAAAATTAATAATAATCAGCCTCGTTAAAAATTCATATAGTAAACAAAAACTGAGTCATGTTAGACTATCACACAAATCCATATCCTTTCGCCGCAGGGAATAAATTGAAAAACAAAACAGAATCATATTAAAGGAAGGGAAGTAGAGAACCCCTCTGTTGTTGTTAAGTGTTAACCCCTCTTATTAAAATTTTCCGTCTTCGTCTTGTTGTTACTGAAGAACGCGGCGGGAAAACGATGTCGTACGACGACGTGGAGATCGAGGACATGGAGTGGAACGAGGAGTTGCAGTCGTACACGTATCCGTGTCCATGCGGTGACCTCTTCCAGATCACGAAGGAAGACCTCAAGCTCGGCGAGGAGATCGCTCGTTGCCCTAGCTGCTCCCTCTACATCACCGTTATCTACAACATCGAAGATTTCCTCGCCGATTCCGATCAAAATCGAAGAAACAAGCCTCTCGAGCCCTCCAAGCAACAAACCGTCACAGTTGCTTGAATCTCAGGTAGTTAACAAATTCTTACCAATGTCTTCTTCGGCTATTCGGACTTGGTTAATTGTAGGGTTCAACGGTTTCATTTTTTATGCATTGTTTTTTTATTTCAATTTGATATGCTTATGTACATGAGAGTGAAGGGGAAAATGAGAGATGATGGCAGGGTATTGTAATTTGCTTTGATATATATGGTTTTTCTATTGCAGTTGTAGTTTTCAAACATATACTGGATTGCATAGAAGTATAAGTGCACGTGTTTTTTTATCAGTGTAGATGTGTAATAGTGTAAAGAGAAAAAGGAAAAACATTAGTTTTAACCTTTTAAGTCAATTTATGGGGTTCTCGATGTGCAAATTGGTAGAATGACTAATAATTTTTGGGTTTCATTTAATGTAAGTGAAAGTTGGACCTATGAACCCCTAAGGGTAGCTCAGTTGGCAACTGAGCTCCCAAGGGTTTGCTTGAGTCAGGGGTTCAAACCCTGCCTCAAGCAAATTCTTGAAAAATCTTTGGGGGCCAGAGGATGTGTCTCCCTCATCGAATGGGGGATTAATCTTATCCTTCTTCCGGTAGCGAAGCTCAATGCACCCGTTGTTCCAATGAGGGGCTAGCCTATAGGGCCGTACCTCGAGGACAAGGTGACCGGAGGAGGTTGAATGGGGATACCTCCAAGTTATACCCAAAAAAAAAGTTGGACCTATGAACTTTAGGATAAGTGGAATATTGCCTGCACATGCAAATCCAACTGGTGTTTGTGGCTTACTGGTTGAAGCAGATAGAGTGAGTGTGTCTCTAAACTAGTTAACTTTATAGGATGGCTCTTTCGTATATTTTGGCATTTTTGGTTCAGAATCACCAATCAAAGCTGAGAGAACAGTGTGTCTAAATAACTTGAAGGTTGAGGATGGTTCATTGGATGAAATCAAATTATTGTGATCACTTTAAGTTTTGGAAAATTGTGTGATGTTTATTGTTGGAGATTCCAAGGGCGGCTGAAGTATGCCATTAGTAGTCAATTTACAGTGTGTAATATATTCGATAGACTTGAAGTCTGATTCTGTGACAAAGCTTCTTATCATGTCATGCAAGTATAGTGACACTAAGTGTCAGTCTGTCCTGCTGATGCACTCAAATCATTCTATGTTATGCTTTGTTGATTAGTGGTAAACAAGCCTCTTTTGGGAGTTATTTATCCTGAACTTTACTGATCTCCCCTATTTTGATTTTTCACCCTAACACAGATTCTGGTTTTAATTCCTTTTCAAGACTCTTCCACCGCTGAAAAAAATCAATTCCAATGAAACTAGAGGGGTATAAACATAGGTTTCAGAAACATGAGTTAATGCAATTTACTCTGAATTTTTGTAGGTCTTTTATGCTAAATTTATTTACCACAGGGGTTCTCCATTTGTGGTCAACAGCTCCCTCTCATGCTCTTTTAAGTTAGATAAATGAGTTCTGCCACAGAGCTAAAATATCAACTATACACAAATTTCTACTTTTCACTCTTCTTTTGGGGTTTACTGCTGGTCCCTTGTGGTTTTGCTGACTATGATTTTTGTTTGCTGCTGCACTATATATATATATATATATATATATATCCTTTTATTGCGTCTGTGTTTGTGGAGGAGTGGCCAATTGGCATTGCCGTGTACCTTTGAGTCTGGGACTCTGGCCTTTATATATTGTGGGTTCTATACTATTCTCATTATATAAATTTCAAGATGTTGAAAGTTGAAGAATAGTCGACTGTATTGTAATTAGATTACATATTGTTGCTTCTGAGTTTATACAGACTAGTAATAGTTTATTATCTTTTCCGTAAATGATTGAATACATTGTCTTGCAGATGTCCTGAAATGGAGGCAGCAATAGGTTTTGTCGCGGCTTTGATTTATCATAGCATCGCATATCTTGTTTTGCAGATAGGAATTCTTGGTATTTTAGATGAAAAAGGGAGAATGAATAATACGAGAGATTATGGTACAACAAGAATATACTATTATTTGTAAGATAATTGTTATTTATGGAAGGGTAAAAGGGAACCAAGAATTTTGTAATTGACCTCAGTTGAACTTTGATATGATATCATATCGCTTATCTTGTCCTTTTAAACTTCATAATATCACTCGCTCATTTACAGAATTATAGAAGCTACTATGTGCTAATTATTCTTCTTGAATAAGTCCCTAAGCCTCGACGTTCTTTACTTCAATTCTTGGGTTATTGTTTGCCTTGAAATTTGTAATGCGTTTTGGGCGAGTAACATTTCCTGGCACGACTTTGGTAGTGATTCCGTCAACTGCAAATGGAACAAAAACACTTCCCATACAAACATGCAGTTATCAACAAAGTGGCGGCAGTAAGCATGTACAACGGCAGTAAGCATGTAGTTACTAACGAGAATTGAATGTGATGATAAGAGTGTAAAGATTAAGGGTTTTATAAGAGTTATGTTATAGGAAAAGTGATTGTGTAATTTTATAGAGATTCGTTTTGCGTGTTGTAGTTTTTTTTTTTTTTTTTTTTCAAAAAGTGTGGGCTTCACAAAATGTTGTGTGTGTAGAAAATTTTGTTGTGTCACGTTAAATGATAAATGCAAATTCCAAAGATTAAAGTTCAAATGCTAAAAGTCAAAGAAACCTCCTTTGACTTAAGTCCATGTGCAAGTTATATTCTGAGTTTTACATGGTGTAAAATACTTCTTGAAACCACACATTCCGTTAACCTTCGGTTTAAAAACTTGACAGATTAATCACATGCTTGTCACGTTATGATCAAAGAACACTTGGACTGTTTGTTTGTCAAAAACTCAAGAATGCTTATCCGAACAATTACATAAACAGGGGGATATATCAAGCTTAACAAGCATCACAAGAGAAGAGGAAGTCACAAAAACCTAAAATACCCAGCAGCGGAATAATTGTCGATTATGAGGTCATGTTTAAGTAACTAGTCATTTTGATGCAATTGGAGACATGTCAAGTGTAACAAGAGAAGAGGAAGACACGAAAATCTAAAATACATAGCAGCAGAATAATTGTAGAATATGGGATTGTTAGAAAAGGACCTATAAACAAGTTAGAAGAGTTTATCATATGAAAGATGGAGAAGGATATTGTAACAACTAGGGGTGTCAAAATGGGTTGACACGACACAAATTCGACACGACACGAATACATTAACACTAACATGACACGAATTTTTATTCGTGTCAAAATCTTCAACACTGACACGATATGAATTTTTTGCGGGTTGACACGACACGACACGAATAACACGCAAAATAGGGGTCAAAATGGTAATTGACAAAAAAAATTAAAAAAAAATAGATCGAAATTAAAAAAAATTAAAAAATAATAATAAAAAATTAAAAATAATTTTTTTTAAAAAATACAGGTCGACACGAACACGAATACATCAACACGAACACGACACGAATTTTTTTGCGGGTCAACCCGAACACGAATTTTCGTGTCGTGTCGCGGGTCGACCCGCGTGTCAAAACCTATATTGACACCCCTAGTAACAACCAAGTTGTGTTACTACCAAGTTACTACCAATCAATCTCACCGTTAGATTGATTATGTTGATCCAACGGTTATATTTATTTTCATCTTTTGGTTATGATTTTCCAAATTTAATACTTTATATTTATTTCACCTTTGTATGGTTATGATTTTTCATATTTAATACTTTCACTTTAAATATGGGGAATCATAACCATACAAAGATAGAAATAAATATAACCGTTGGATCAACATAATCGATCTAACGGTGAGATTGATTGATTATGTTGATCCAACAGTTATATTTATTTCCATCTTTGTATGGTTGTGATTTTTCAAATTTAATACTTTATATTTATTTCCACCTTTGTATGGTTATGATTTTTCATATTTAATACTTTCACTTTAAATATGGGAAATCATAACCATACAAAGATAGAAATAAATATAACCGTTGGATCAACATAATCGATCTAACGGTGAGATTGATTGGTAGTCACACAACTTGATTGTTACAATGTCTTTCTTCATGAAAGATAACTTAATAATTAGATGTCGAAGTAAAAAAAAAAGAAAAACTAAGTAAAATTATTAAATAAATGATCTAAAATTGAATGACATTTTTAAAGAATTAATTTTGGAGAGGATATATAATAGCATGGTTTCATATAAATAACCTCATCTTATAATTAAAAGCATTAATTATTGTTATATATGAGGGTACAAAATCATATATCCAACCTCATTGTTGTATAATATCAGAGAAAGAACTAAGAAGACTGCAAATTTGATGATGAACTCCGATTCGTACTTTTCTGATACGCAACTTGTAAAATTAACATTTGTTTTTTGGTCTGAGTCTGAGCATAATATCTTTTCTTATACAATGAATATAAATTTAATTTTGGTGCACGAGCATAAGCAAAATTTATATTACCATCTAGTAATATATTATATAATAATTTAATTTGATTTAATAAACTTATTAATTTTCAAAGTTATTAAGCATTTGACATGACGTGATTGGATAAAGAGGTTCAAGGATAGGATACCAAAAAAAGAAAAAGAAAAAAAAAAGAGGTTCAGGGATAACATTTAAATTCCCAAGTTTGGCGTCGCAGTGCTTGACAATCGCAGGCGCATGCGTTAAACAAACAAAGTTCCATTTTGTTCTCTCAGTATTGAGTTTTGACTTTTGAGTTTTCATTATTTCACTATGAAATTGCTTAAAATCTTCAATTCCAAACGCCCAATCCTCAAATTTCTCTCCCATCCCTATTCTTATTCCTATTGCTATTCCTCTTGTGTCTCCCAACCCCAAACACCGTCTTTCTCCATTCCCCCACCAATCACTGAAGCCACTTTGTTACATTCCATTGAATCTTCTCAGTGGCATTTCATCAAACAGGTTGCCCCACACCTCACACCCTCACTTGTCTCTTCCGTGCTAACCAGCATTCACCAAAACCCTCAACTTGCTCTTCACCTTGTAACCCACCTTCACAATCACCCTCATTGCCTTGACCTGACAACACGTTGCCTCGCCATTTGCATCCTCTATCGCCTTCCATCCCCAAAACCCTCTCTTGACCTCTTACACCAGCTCATTCACACTGGCATTGCCACCAACAGAATGATTTTAGATGAATTGGCACTTGCCCGTGATCGTTTCAATGCTAAGTCTAGCATTGTCTTTGACCTTCTGGTCAGGGCTTACTGTGAACTCAAGAAACCCAATGAGGCTTTGGAGTGTTTCTACTTGATGAAGGAAAAGGGTGTTGTGCCCAAGATTGAGACTTGCAATCAGATGTTGAGTCTGTTCTTGAAATTGAATGGAACCCAGAAGGCTTGGGTTCTGTATGCAGAAATGTTCAGGATGCAAATCAAATCCAGTGTGTGCACTTTTAACATAATGGTTAATGTGTTGTGTAAAGAAGGGAAGTTGAAGAAGGCAAAAGAGTTTATTGGGAATATGGAGGCTGTGGGGGTGAAGCCTAATGTTGTTACTTATAACACTGTTATACATGGATACTGTTTAAGAGGGAAGTTCCAAGAGGCTCGTGTGATCTTTCAAACAATGAAAGATAAAGGTCTTGAGCCAGATTACTACACGTATAATTCATTTATTACTGGGATGTGTAAAGAAGGAAGGCTTGAGGAGGCATCTGGGTTGCTTAGTAACATGTTAGAATTTGGCTTGGTTCCCAATGTAGTAACATATAATGCGTTTATTGATGGGTACTGCAATAAAGGGGATCTGGATAAGGCTTTTGCCTACAGGGATGAGATGATAAGTAAAGGCATAATGGCATCTCTGGTCACCTATAATTTGTTTATTCATGCACTGTTTATGGAAGGAAAGATGGGAGAAGCTGATAATATGATAAAAGAAATGAAAGAAAAAGGGTTGAAGCCCGATGCTGTTACATATAACATATTGATTAATGGGTATTGCAGATGTGGGGATGCAAAGAAAGCCTTCAGCCTTTATGATGAAATGGTGACAAAAAGGATTCAGCCAACACTGGTAACATATACGTCACTTGTATACGTTCTTGGTAAAAGGAATAGAATGAAGGAGGCTGATGACTTGTTTAAGAAGATTCAACAAGAAGGTTTTTTGCCAGATATCATAATGTTTAATGCATTGATTGATGGTCACTGTGCAAATGGTAATATTGATCGTGCATTTCAACTCTTGAAAGAGATGGATAACATGAAGGTTATTCCTGATGAAATCACTTATAATACCTTGATGCAAGGATACTGCAGGGAAGGGAAAGTGGATGAAGCTCGGCAACTTCTTGATGAGATGAAGAGAAGGGGGATCAAACCTGATCATATTAGTTACAATACACTCATTAGTGGTTACAGTAAAAGAGGTGATATGAAGGATGCTTTTAGAGTTCGTGATGAAATGCTGAATATAGGATTTGATCCTACGATTCTCACTTACAATGCTCTTATTCAAGGCTTGTGTAAAAACAGAGAAGGTGAGCATGCTGAAGAGCTCCTCAGAGAAATGGTAAGTAAAGGTATAACTCCAGATGACAGCACCTACCTATCTTTAATTGAGGCGATGGAGAATGTTGATGACCTGGTGGGAAATGATGATAAGTGAACTTGTGCTTTCATTTACTTGAAATTGAATTGAGAAAGAGCTGTTCAAGAAGAAAAAAATTCTACCTTGGACACAAGCGTCTTGGCATTCTTGATTCTACGGGCTGTGTCATTGAGCAAACATTTACCTGCATATGAAGAACAAGTTAATGGAGTTCTTGAAAAAGTATAATTTTCCTTAGCTAATTTCTTTTTATTGTAAGATTATAATTTTGTTTTATTTTAATAATTTTTTAATGTTAGTTTTGTACCATATTCTTAACATAATGTTTGTTGGTGTTTCCGTTTGATTTTAGAAAATAATAGCTAATGATTGAATTACATTGAATTACACAGGAAGATTGTTGTGAATAGATGCAAAAAATGAGCAAAATATTTATTGCTTTTCAATGTCTGCTCATGACCTCAGTCTCTGCACTGTTTTGTAGTTAAATTATTACTCTCATCTGAGTATAGACGCTAGTGGCTTTATGCAGTATTGTACTGCATCAGTCCTAGTTATTTGTATAGTCATGTTCTTCTGATGTGAATAGAGTTTTCTGCTACCATGATGTGAATAGAGTTCTCTGCTACCACGAGCCTCTGGATGATGTGCTTGGATGGTGTAACACCCCGTGTATACCCGGTTTGTTATCATGTCATCTTATTAAGCGTTGCTTAATTAAAATGTGGAATTAACTTTTTCTTTTCAATTATGACGTCATTATTAATTACCAAGTTGATTACTTAATCCTTATTCAAAACATTGCCTGTATGTAATCGCAAATAGACAACTAACTACACTGAATAACCTCATAATATAAATAAGTGAGTATCTAAGTCACGAAACTACAACACGTAGTCCGGACCATGATCCTGATACATTAAACAACTCGAATCTAAAACAACAAAGTCAAGTCAATGTAGCATGGACAACCCCCATGCTCACCAAATGAGGGTACAAAGCCCAACAGAGTCTCAACAACAAAAACATAATAATAAATATAGGACATGTCAGCATCCAAGCATAACAGTATAAACAACAAGCATATCACATCAGCTCTGGCCTCCTGCCGCCCGAGGTCTCAACCCCCGAGTTACCTGAACCTGAAAATGTGCCCCAAACGTGGGGTGAGATCTCTAAACAGAAATCTCAGTAAGGCAAGGGGTCCTCAAGGATTTCTCCACCCCAAGCTCACGTACATGTGCAATATAAGTTCAAAAGCAGTTTACAGTATAAGTTCCAAAATCAGTGCAATGCTACAGATAATCATGTCATATGTGTGTCAAAATATTCTACTGGCCAGAGAAATGCAGAATTTACATACGTCTATTACCTACAATCAGTGCAAGACACCACTTGCACCTACCCATAGAATCACCCTATTGTATGTCTACTACATACTCAGGCTTACCGTCTAGGTGGAACAACACATGCATATCATAAGACACTTGCACATAACAACTCAACAACATTTTAAATATCAATACATGAAAACACATCATGCATATAAATCATTCCCCCATGGGGTATGGTGGAACCAACAATGGCTAAACCGAGGACACGAAAGCTTACCTTGCAAGTTAACTATCCAACTCAAGAGTCCAACCAAGTCCAAGGTCCACAACAACACTCTCACAGTCTGTTTATACCAACAATCACATCAATATTCGTATCCTAATAGTTCAAGACATAACGACAACGTTTTCCTTTTACGTTTCATGCCATTAGGCTTCTCACAAAGCCATAAGCCCATAATCCCATTGATTCTGACTTAGAATATTTATTACAGAGGTTCAACTAACCAATCTAGGGTCCATAAACCCCAAATATAGTTCTGTATGAACAGAACAGTCACTGTCTCGAAATTCTCAGAATATCCGGATATTTGTCGGGGGCATATCCGGATATCATATCCGGATATCCATATCCGGATATCTCCAACCCCATATCCGGATATTGCGCGACAAAATGCAGTTGTTGCATTTCGCGAGATATCACTTCCAAGGTTCAATTTTTAACCCATTTCAGCGTCCAAGCATGCATTTTTATACACTCTTAGGTTCATGTTCATGTTGGTTACCTATTTAACTCATTTTACATGTCAAGACTTGATCTTTAACAAGGAAACTCATGATCAAAGGTGAGGAACATACCCCAAGCTCCAAAACAGAAAAGAGAGGTGCTCTTGGAGCTCTCTATGAAGCTCCAACAATATGACTTTACAAAGTCACGAAAATGGTGATCAAGAATGGTTCTTTCTCCACAAAGTTAGCTCCTTGAAGCTCCAAAAGCCAAGACAATGGCTCCTTCCCCACAAAACAGTGAAGTCAGCCATCACACACTCAACCTAGAGGCTGCAAAGACTTAGAACAAGGTGGCTCTCAACCTCACAAGACTTGTCTCAACATCTATGGTGATTCAATGAGGAAACTAGGAAGAAAAATGATCTCTTGAGGGCTTCTATGGTGGAAGAAGAGGATGGCAAGGGTGACAGCCTCAAAGCTCCAGAAAAGCAGGATTAGAGTATGTCCTAGGGTTTTGGGCCAAAATAAGTATATATATAGCCTGCTTAAGTTTAAACACACTGTATTAGCACTAATAGTTACGCTTAGCATTCTAATCTCAAAATTGGGATTCTGAACATAGCCATTTTTCTAGGATTTTTCATATTTTTATTTTATTTTTCGCAGCACTTTGCCGGTACGCGCTTTTACGTAGCCGGTATCAATTCTGAAACCAATTCTCATTATTTTGACTTGAAACTTGTTATACTAGTCTATATATTATTCTAGTAATATACACTTTTCATAATTTTCCGGAGTACTTCATCGGTACGCATTTATACCGTGAGGCAGAACCGATATCTGCACTTCTCGTCAGAAAAACGACTTTCAACATTATTAATCACTTACCATGATTATTTAAGCCTTCTGATAATTATTAGGGTCAATTATGGAATTGTCTCATTAATTTCATAATTAATTAATTATTTTCCTAAATTAACGGTGTGGGTTCTTACCGATAGCACTTGACGTGGCATATTACTTCATAGTTCATAGTTTATAAGGAGAAAATCAGCTTATCATTTAATCTGGTTGATTGAATAAGGAAGTTTTAATGTTTGTTCAAAGCATATTTTCATTTTTAGCTCCTTTTTTTAATGAGTATTTTAGGAGCGACGGAATGCCAACCCTCGGGCTTTATTTGTAATAAAGTCTCAGTGCCTGGTAATTTGAAACCCACATATTTATGAACTAATCCATGTACGATTAACCATGCAGACAAACGACCTTGCATTTTTATTTTGGTTTTAAAAACTTCTATGCATTTTTATTTGCTCGAGTGTGTATATCTGTTATTTTCACATTGACGAACTTGGTATTTATTATGAGTTTAATTTTGTATAAAGATTTTTATATTGTTATATGATAGTGTTTTTGTTACATTATTCAATAAATTTGACCATCTCGTGTTTTCAAACTCGTCAAATGATGTGGTAACAGATGATTGAATGACATTATTAAAACTAGTTTTACTCTTATACTATATTTAATTAAGCGCATGCTTTGTAACAGTTATTATTATTATTGTTTTTGGAATCTGTTAAAAGACTGCAAAAAAAAAAAAAAAAACCTCAAAATTCAAAAGACGCACTTGATTCATTTATTATTTTAGTTTGTACGAAAAGGATGTGGCCCTAATTCACCACTTTGGGATAAACGCACTAAGATCCACAGTTTGTTTCCCCTTAAAAAAAAAACACAATTTTTATGTCTTGTTTATTTTAAAAATATTTTTTATAAAAGTTAGAGTTATTTATATTCTTAAAAAAATATTGAGTTTTTGAAAAAAAAATTTGACTTTTGACTTATGTTTTTTTAAAAGCTAAAATGTTTAGCTTAAAAAAAACAACAGGTTTTTTTACATTTTTTTTAAACAGACATCCAAATAAACTTATAGTGAGAAGAGAAAAAGAAAATGAGTTCATATATTTTTATATGTGTAGGAGATAATTTTATTTTCTGTAATATTAAATACATTAAACCCTATATATATATATATATATATATATATGATAAGTTTATTTCCAATCATCCCAAAACTACGTCGTTTTGTTTATTTATTTCCTTATATTAATTGATTCACCTTTGAATGGTTATTATTTCCTTTTTCTCTCTCTTCCTTTATCACCATTTGATCCATCTTTGTACGGTTATGATTTAGTAGCCAGAGATAAAATTATCTCAAGCAGCTTGAGAAATGATAAGCCCATATATATATAGGGCAAATTATATTTACAAACTTTTTTGTTTACAAACTCTTACAAACTACACTATGTTCTCCCAGGAGTGTAATTTGTAAAAAAAATTCAAAAAAGTTTGTAAACGGATCCTTCCCATATATATATATATATATATATATATATATATATATATATATATATAAGGACAGGATATTGTGACAACCAAGTAAAGTTACAACCAATGTTACTACCAATCAATCTCGCCGTTAGATTGGTAGTAGCGATCCCACGGTCCTCATTGATCTCTTAAATAGCCCCTCTTTATTCCTTTCTCTCTCTTCCCTTCTCTCTCTCACTATAAACTTTGCCGCCGCCGCTGCCCATAGCCTCTGTCCCGATGGCGCCGCCTGCCTCCGTCGCACCGCCGCCAAGCCTCCGTCGCGCTGCCGCAGCTGCATTTTGAACAAACAAAGCCTACCCTTCAACTCTAAAGCACTTCTTTTAAATACGAAACAACTCTCCATATACATCGTTGTATCTTTTTGCCTTTGCTTTTTAGGAATAGAGGGTTTTTCTTCTCTTTTAACTTAACTCGCTTCATCACTCATTGACAGATCCATCTTAAAGATGTTGCAGACTCAGTGAATAGAGAGATAAATTTTTAAATCATTGTGTATCAAATTTTTAAAAATTAGAGAGATGAGTAAAAAAAATTTAAAATTTGATACACATTGAATAGATAGTTTCTTTATATTATTCACAATTTTTAAATTTTTGGTAAAGAAGAGACAGACACACACGCAAGAGCTCGAATATGGTAAATCGAATCTCGAATCTTAAACCGCGATAATATTCAAGCTCTCCGCTGGA